CAGAGGCGCAGGGCAATCAGGGGATTGGGGAGCTCCCCGCTATCAGGCACAGAGCAGGGCTGATCAGGTGGTTGGGGCGCCTTCCCCTGTCACGAACAGAGCAGGGCGGATAGGGAGGTTGTGGCCCCGCCCCCTGTCACACACAGAGCCGCAGGGCGATCAGGGGGTTTGGGCGCTGCCCCCTGTCATGCTGATCCCGGTGCCGGGAGCCTCGCTGCTCCGCTGATCCCGGTGCTGGGAGGCATATTACCCTTTTACTATATAGGATAGAGGCCTGGTGCATGGGTAGGGGCTGGCTGGTTTGCCCTGAAGGGTGTCCTGGATCAGGGTGGGGGTCCCCACTGGGGTGCCTGGCCAGTCTGGGTGAGGGGCTGAGGGCTGTTTTCCGGCTGGTGAGTGACTAAAGCTTCCAACCGCTCCTTGTTTTCTTTTCTTTTTTTTTTTTTATTCTGGGGCAGCTTTAGCTCTGAGGCCTCGCTGCTGAAAACATCGATACAATGTTGCGGTCCGAGCCCGGCTGAATGGAAGCCCTTTTCTGGGGTTTTGTTTAGCTTCTTATTTGCAACATAGTATATAGTTGCTTAGAGTTGCAGCTGAGAGGCTGGCAAGTGAGGGGGCGAACGTTGGAGTCTGCAGCAAGCAAGCCTCCCTGCTCCCTTCAGTGCCTGGCTGCTGGCCGCCATCTTGGCTGACAGTTAATTTGCATATACTCACTGATTAGCCAATGAAAAGGGTAGCGGTCGTACGCTAATTACCATGTTTCTCTTTTATTAGTGTAGATAAATTATTATCATATATAACTACATCTTATCATTAATGTTTTGGAAATAAGGTGTGGGTCTTATCTTTTTTTAGCCCCTTAATGCCTAGCATAAGCTCCTTATAATTAGTAAGTGCCCAGTAAATGTTGAGTTATGGACTAATTAAAGGATATCTCTAGACTTCTTCTCATTGGTCAGGGAAGCTAAAAATTAGGCTTCTGACATATATTATTTTTCCTTTTAATTTTTTAGTATTGGGTTTTATAGCTCTGAACCTAATTTTTACTATATTTTTACATCTAAAAATCAACATTCTAATATGAGGTTCTATTTTTTTTATAACTTTTAAAAATGTTTCAGGCCATCAGCAAGCAGTTTATTGTCCCATGTTTTCTTCAAACAGGTAAGCTGATCTTTTTTCTGTTGTCTAGATGTTTTTAAATACTATTAAAAAGTCACTTCATGTATTGGCTTAATGGGACAGTTTGGTTGTTAAGGTTTTTAATAACAGCTTTCTTACAAAATAAAGTTAAAATCAAGAAAATTTTTGGGTAATTCAGTTAGACTTTCTAAAATACATCCATTCTGCAAAACGAGTAAAAACAAATGGAATATCATCATATGTGACTATATCTTCAGTTGATATTTTGATTAATTTAGAGACATTTTATTTTTCTATATTGTCTAAAAATAATTTAAGGGCAAAACAATTCTGATAAAAATCATTCTATTTGGCTGTCACTTCTTCCTATTTTCAGATGACCAGAATCAAAGGTATTTTTAGTGACTTGGTTAAAAACAATCTTAAATACTTTCAATGATTTCTTTAAAAGTTATTTTTTGCTAACAGAACTAATGTATTAAGTTTATGTACCAACAGCCTTATTTTGAGTTTCTTTGACAGATGAAAGAAGAGAGCCAGGACGCAATCCTTTCACTGTTGCCTCCAGCTTATCAAAAGCCATCAGTAGCACTGCCTCCAGCACCACCTTGGACTGAGCCAGACTGTGACTTTCCTGATGAAAAGGATGCAAACTGGGAATTCTAGGGCTGCCAAATCCTTTACATCCTACATACTTGACACTTTCTCCCTGCTGCTTTTCTTCTGTATTTCTAGGTACAAATACTAGAATTATACTTGAAAATACAGTTGGTGCACTGGAGAATCTACCACTTAAAACCACTCTATTCGAAGGAGCATGAGTTCGTAGCCCCTTTGGTTAGCTCAGTGCTACTACACCTCCAGGGAAACTTCAGAAGGATTCACCTAGCTACACTTAGTGTCATCTATTCTCAAGTTTTGTTTCTTCCAAAGCTGTGACTAATTCTTCTTGATCTCACTATCATTTTTGAGCCATTTAATTCTTTCAGCATTTCCTGCCCTCAGGGAATGTGCCCTCAAAGGACAGTGCTTCCAAATACATTTTTTACTTCCAGATTTTCGAGCCTTTTTGATCAGCTATTGTTAGACCAACAGGCTAGTTGATTCTGGCATCAAACCCTTGTTTGGTAACAGGGAAACAGGTATACTTTCCCATTTTCTTGTGTTAATACTTATGGCAATATCAAACTGAGCCTCACTCACATTAAATGATTCACTTGAAATATATAGAGAAGTTGTGATTTCCTTTTTTTTTTAAGGGGCTAAAGTAACACTTTTCTACTTATGTAAATTATAGATCCTAAATTCATGCATCCCGTGGGAGCTCAATAAAGATTTATTGAATTGAGTTTATGCTTTTATTTATCTTTTTGCCTGGTTTGACAAGGCTAAAACACAGATTCTAATTTGTTTTGCCAAGGAAACCCGTTTGCAAACAAATAGGTTTACTTACATAACCTGTGAATTGGGGACAACCTGGTCTTTGATCAATGGAGAGAGAAGACATTCTGTTCCTTTATATGATTATTCTTGCTCCTGTGGGTGATACAACATATAATGACAGAGAGACCTTAATTCATGGTATTACCACATTAGCAAAAGAGAGATGCTGTCTCAGAGTATGCAGTTTGAATTGTGGATTTTCTTAATCTGTACACTTAAAATTATTTTTAAATGATTGTCTTAAGATTAAAAGTAATGAGACAGTATATAAATTAATAGACAACTTGAAACACAAACCTTTCAATGTTGATTGCCAGCCCTTGTCAAGAATGTTTAGGTCACTCCATCAAGTCAGCCACAAAGACCTGCAAGGTGAAGGAGGGAGAGGTGAGCACCAGTTGAGGCCCTGAGATCACATGTAGTAGCGGGGGCTGTAGTGGTCCACCGACCTCCGAAACCTCCCTTCACAAGAGAGACCCACAGGAATCATAGAGGAGGATCTCCTGAATCTGCGTGGAGCAGTGGAATGTGTGTGCAAAAGGTGGACTGGGGAGAGCATGAGGCAGTGCCTCTCGGATCTCCCATGTGTTCTTCTCCAGAGAAAAGAACCAATAGGAGACTTACTCTAGGAATTGCCTCACACGATGATGGAGGCTAACAAGCCCCCAGATCTACAGGGAGAAAGGACAAGCTGAAGACCTAGAGAGCCCATGGAGATCCACCGGCAGGCTGACCTGGCAGAGCTGGTGCCACAGGCCTTAACCTGGAGAGGCCCACCCGCATCGAGGAGGGCAGTCTGCTTCGGTTAGTCTACAGATTTAGATGTTAATTTCATCCAAAGTGCCTCACAGAAACACCCAGATTTCAACGAATATCTGGGCACCCTATGGCCCAAATTGACACTTGAAATTAACCATCACAGTAAATATCATACTTGATTGACATCCTTACCCTGAGATAGGCTTAAATTTTGCATCATAGGCTCCCTGCTTGCTATATTAGTTCTCTATCGCTGTTGTAAGAAATTACCACAAACTTAGTGGCTTAAAACAACACAAATCATTTTACAGTTCTGGAGGTCAGAAGTTTAAAAGGCATTGGCTGGGCCATGCTCTGGAGGCTGTGGGGGAGAATCTGCTGCCTTTTCTGGCTTCTGCAGGCTGCCTGCCCCCCTGGCCTCAGGGGCCAGCACTTGTTTCAGTGTTCACATCTCCTTTTCTGACATTCTGCCTCTCATAAGGACTCAAGATTATTTGAGGTCTACCCAGGTAATCCAGGATCATCTCATCCCAAGATCCTTAATTTAATCACAGCTGCACAGTCCCTTCTGCCAGGTAAGGTACCATATTCACAGGTCCCTGGGATTAGGGTTGATGGATCATTATTCTGCCTAACACACATGTCCAGTCATGTCGGCTTTCTGAAGGACCCAGGCTAAAATGCCCCATGAGCTTCTAAGTACTTTCCCCAAACAATGCTTATGTAACTAGTATTACTGCTCTGTGTGTGTGTCTCTAATAGACTGTGGACTCCTTGAGAATATTGTCTTATTCGCTAGTACATCCTGATGTTTAGCAAAATGTTTGGCATATTTAATAAATATTTAAGGAATTCAACTTTGACTAAAGGTTACGAGTTGTTTTGTTTTTTTAAAGACTTGAATATTTGAGAGATTTCCCCGGTAGGAAATTTTAAACTCTGTGACACAGTATTGCCACTAAGAGTTTAATGAGACGAAGGGATCTGAGATTTCCATCTAGAAAATATTTCCTCCTTTACTGCAAACCAGATCAATGGTTTTCCTCATAAATACTGCTGGTCAATTGCCTGTTTGCTCTTAGATCCATTTCTCCACTCTTCCCTTGCTCAGCTTCACTGGGAACTACATTTCCCATGCACCCCCTCTCTCAGGTGTCCAGGGAGGCAATGTTGGGAAATCAGAGAGCAGGAAGAGAGAGGGGAAACGTGGCATTTCTCACCCTGTGCTCTTCCCGGTTTCTTGCGGAGTCCTGGCAGTGGCTCTATGTTCTTGGCCTTTTGGCTTTAGGACTCTGGTAGCACCGCTTGCTCCTGCTGTCTCTTCCATCTGAAGGGTAGTGGCACATCCTGCTCTTGCTAATCTCTGGATTGACTTCTTAGCCTTGATTCCATCACTCATGAAACTAATTCCCCGTGTTTCTTCTACTTGAAGATTCTAAGTTATAACTGTTTTCCCAGTTACACTATGACTGATGCAAGTACAACTTTGAGGATTACTAGAAATTCTTGGCCTCCAAAAAAATGTATTACCTTGATCATACCATTAAATGAATGATCAGGATTTAAGTTCCCCATTAGCCAATCTATTTAAACCCCATAGTTTTTATGACTTATGGGAGAAAAATTAAAACGGACAAAAATTCTATAAATTGAAGTTTTGCTTCTCAAGAATGAACCAAAGTTCAACAAGATCCAAATACTGTACTTGGTGAGAATAGAGCCAATTCTCAGAAGTCTCTGATTTAGATCCTGGACTAATTTAGCTAGGTAATATTTTAGGCAGTTTCTATAGATGTATGCAGCTTCCTGAGCTTTGTGTTATTAAAGAGGCCCTTTCATAGTTTTTCAAGTAAGAAAGTCACTACAGTGTAGGAGCTGCCTTAGGAATTCATATTAAACCTGTTCTTTATAATCTTTATAGTGTAAAAAGTTGTGATAGCCAATATTAAAATTAACAAGTTTTTTAGGCCTAGAGAATTATATTCTGTTGAATCAAGAAATATAACTAAAGTTGAAGAGTTAAAGGGAGATCAACAGCACATAGAGAACTTAAAACCTGGTGAGAGGGATCATTCAGAGCATAACACAGATTTGAAAAATCTGAGCGCTATGAATTGGAGCAATTCTGTCATATAATGAAAAAGAAGAAAAGCTGGGAATACAACTTTGCTAATGAATATGAACTGAATATGTATTTCTGTGTTCCCTATAGTTCATAAACAAACACATTTACATCAAAAAGTGTTTCTTTTACATTTTAATTAAAACAAAATGGTTCTAACAAGATGAAATTTGGTTGCTGACTTCTATCACACGAAAGGACAGATCTCCAAACCATTTTGTTAATTGGAGAAGTGATATTCTGACTGTCGGCCTCACATATCATTCTGAGCTGTTTAACAATTGGATAATATCACAAGTGAGCAAACATTTTCAGCATTTTCTTTTAAAAATTTTTGACTGTGTTTTATGGATTTCATAATCTGGGACTGTGTCATTTAAATGAACTAAGCCTGCTGAAACCATTCGAGAACTTGTAAACTTTCCAGTGTAGCTTTCTCGATGCTTGTTAACCCCCGGAGCAGTACATGGTCTTGCATGTTTCAACCGATCGTGGCTCTCATCTGGGTTCTTTTCTAAAAGCCTTGCTCTTGATTTCACTTTTTCAAGATGCTGAAATGGGGTCATAGGAAAATCCTCAAATCTATCCGAACAATCCTAAACATTAAAATAAAAGATCGAGTTGGTGAGTTAGGCTTCCTTAAAGTATATTTTACATTTATAAGAACCAAAGTTTGTAATATCAACAGTCAAAGACAAAAAATGAGAGCATCAAATGTTTTATAGGTAAAACCTTCCACCAATGCCTCCCATTAGAAACTATAGAAATCTTGTAATACTACCAACAATAAATAGATATAAATAAATAACCAAATAAATAGAGATGAGAATGTAGAACCGCACAAACAAACAAAAAATCACAACCATGTTTCAGCCCCCTGGTGTGTTTCAGTGGTTGAGCATCAACTCATGAACTAGGAGGTCAAGGTTGGATTCCATCCCTCCCTCCCCTGGTCAGGGCACATGCCAGGTTTATGGCTCAATCCCCAGTAGGGGGCGTGCAGGAGACAGTGATCGATGATTCTCATCATTGATGTTTCTGTCTCTTCCTTTCCTTTCCTCTATCTGAAATCAATAAAAACATATCTTTAAAAAAAAATCTATTGTTTCAAAGGATCTGTTATTTCAAAAGGGATGGAAGATATAAAGCTTGAAACCAGGTAAATTTAGGGGTCAGACTCCTAAGCAAGGTTGAACAGCTTCCTGTTCTATAATTCTCCTCTTCCAAAATACATCTTCCCCAGTCCCAAGTATAAATTATAAACTCTTATATTTGACTTTTTATGTTATCCTAACTTTCATTCCTTAAAAGCTGATAAACATCTTTAATACACACACATGCACAGAGTTCAGCATCTAAGGATGTGGTTATAATGTTTATATTAAAACAATTTTAAAATTGTGTATATTTTGAGAGTAAACAAGACATTCAGGAAAATAAAATATATATACCAAAATATTTTTTTAAATGGTGGCTGTGTTAGGGTGGCGGGATTATGGGCTTTGTTTTCCTTTTCAAACTTATAATAATATGTCTATATTTTATAATACTTTACAAGTATGCGCATAAGAGAATACGGAGTTATTAGTCATTCTCAAATTAGTGTAAACTAGTTTCCCCTGCAGTTTGAGCAGCTTGTCTCTTAACACTTCAGAGAGATGGCCACACCAAAGAAATGGGCTGCTTTCCTTTGGAGAGGAAGTGGGCGTGGATTATTAGAACTGGAGAGCTGGGGGAGGGTTGGCAGGGCTAAGAATTAGACAGCAGTAAAGAGATTTACAAAAGAGGAGGCACCACGAGTCTAAAGGGAAATGTGACCCACTTTACAGTTTTGCCTGGGTTTGCAGAGGACAAGGAAGCCGCCTCCCTCTTCCCTCTCATGCACATAGAGCCATTAGGTCAGCCCAGCATTAAGGGAGCGTCTGCTACACTGGCCAGTGATATGTAACTTGCTTCACAGTGGACGTACTGTTGCTAGAGGACCAGTGGAAGCGCATGGAGCTGCGGCCCCACCTCCACCCTCTCCCTCCCTCCCTGCCCTTTTCTGGATGCTCCTGCAACTCAGTTTTTCAGTCTTTTGAGTTCTTTGGAAAATTCTTGGATTTTAGAGAATCAGGTGAGCCAGACATTCTGATGATCTGAAAAATTCCCTCTTACCATTTATTCTCTGTTGCCAGTGTCACTAGAGAGAAAGTTCAGGTACGGTTGGTTTAAGAGAGGGAAATAAAGATGACTCAATCTCTCTTGCCCATTCTTAGGATAAGGATTCTGAGACCCTATATGATCTCATAACATGTAACATAAACACCATTTTTTTGTTTTGTTTGAAAGTGATACTAATGATTCCACTTGACTAAAGAAACTTCAGAGAGAAACCAAGATGGCGGCATAGGTAAACACCGGAAATTGCTGCCTCCGACAACAACTTCAAAAATACAACTAAAAGACAGAACGGTCATCATCCAGAACCACAGGAAGGCTGGCTGAGTGGAAATTCTACAACTAGAAGGAAAGAGAAAAGCACACAGACTCAGAGGAGGTGCGGAAGTAAAGTGCAGAGGTACGGAGGCTCCGGCGCCCGCGGAAAGGGGCTGGCACCTGAGGAAGCAGCTGTCTTTTTGAATCGGGAGGGAGTCACAAGCTCCCGACTGCTCTGAACTCCAGTTCTGGGAAATCTCTGGGGTCCCAGGGCTCATACGGGGAGAAACTGGACGGTCTGGCAGCAGGCAG